AAACTGGAATAAAACTCAGGCAGAATGTGAACATACATGACTCGCTCCAACCTGTTCACCAGAGCAGAAATATTTTATAAAGCAAAATACTTTTCTCTAGCATTAAAAATAACTCCAGAATTCTAAAACCTCAAAGAAATGGAAATCAACACTGTAATCGAAGCCTCCTGGTTGAAGGAAATATCAGAGGGAAATTATGATCTTCTAACTTACAAAAGACTCAGAAGTCAAATGCATTCCAGAACTGAAAAATGGAATGCATTATATTTATTTAGATTTCTTATTCTGTACCCTTATCAACTACCGCTGTCCAACAGGAATGTATGGAATGTTAAAGTTAAGGAGTCTTGAGGGAAAAGAGGGAGGAAAAATATTTTCTGAAGGACAGAGTGGGGTTTTTTTCTCTTAAAAGAAAGTTCTGGGTGTGTTCTGATACCTGTGGATTTTCTTCTCGTTTTGGCTTCGGTGCAGCAGGTGGAGTAACTGTACGACTTTCTGTTTGCTTTTCTTCTGCTTCCACATGCGGTTTAATAGTCTGAAAAGAAACAGTGTTTCTCTCTTTCAGTGATAAGAATGACTTTTTTTACTTTGACTAATAAAGCAAAACAAATACTTTCACAGATACAGGAGAAAAACAGTTTAGAGCTGGCAGTGGACTAACAAAGACTTAATTGAGGAATGTTATGTGAGAGGAATGTTAAATAAAGTGTTTTCCTTTAAGAAAGGATGCAACAGCCTTACTACCATTCCATTAACCCACGCAGCCACACAAGCAATAGGTCAGCTTAAGAGTTAACTCCATTACAGAAATCACTAAATGGTATGGCAAAACTAACAGACACTTTAAGAAAAAAACATCCCATGGAAGACTTCCAGGTAGAAACTATTCTGCACGGCACACGCATTTTGTACTTCTCACTCCTCAGTCTTCATATTTCATAGAATTATGAATGGCTCAAAAACTGTCTCTCCGATTCCTACGATCTCAGATATTTCTGAAGCTTTTTTCTTTTCTGAAGTCATAATCTTCTGCAATGCTATCACAAACCCTGCATGACAATCCTCAGCCCATGGGACAGCTGCTGAGGCTACAAACTGAGTGAGGAAAGCTACAGAGACACAAACTTTTCCCCTTTATGATATGGAGAAAATATACAGAAAAATTCACATATTATTATACCACCACCATTCTTCTGTATGTTTTTCAACAGTTGAATTGCAAATGAATATTGCTGACATCAAAAGGAACAAGCATCAAAAGTATAGTATTGCAGTAAGTACAACTTCAAATCATACAAAAAGGGCATAACTCGTGGAGCAGCCTTGAGGTACACAAGAACCTACTCATGAGAATTCATAAGCAGAACTGAATGAGCACGAGCATATCTTGGATGCACATGATTTTCGCAGTCTCCATAGATGACTTCAAGAGCAGACTGTAACTTCAAGGCATATTAGTCTATGAAAGAGTTATAAATGAAATATATACTACCATTTATATAAATTACAGAAATATTATATATTATAGATAATGTATAAAATATGAAAGATTTAAAAGTGAAACAGAAGATTGCTTTGCTTGAACTGAACGGCAAGGACTCTCAGTTGCAATCCACACTGACTAAACTCATGTTTTAATTTACAAGTCTTTTCTGGAGAGACACTTTAAAATTAAACACCTAAATTCCTCTGTTTCTGAGGGTCTCCTTTCCACTCAATCAATCCAACTTAGTCACAGGAAACTATTGGTCTTCAGAAGCTGAGTGAGACTATTTTGCCTCCAGAAGTGGCTACATTTATCATATGAAATACCCCTACGATTTTGCATAATTTTTGCCCTTCCCCTAGCCACCCTTTGAAAAACAGAAACAAAGAAAATATTTTTCTAGTGCTTCTTAAAGGCTTGATATGAACACGGACTTCAGTTTGTACGTGCTCTCCAACACAGCAGTACAGCCCTGTGATGTAGCTAGCTTATAAATTACTGAAATTAAGGCAGTAGGGGGAGTATAAAAACACTGAAGCATGAGAAAAAGATTCCAATGGCCCGTATTAAAGAAAATGGTAACTTCTGCCCTAAGAGTTGCAAGTCATTCCATAATTGGTACTGTTGTTAGAACACGAGGATCTCCAGTACCCACTGAAAATTTCTCCATGGTTGTCCTCCTCTCCAAACTGGCACAGTAAAGCAATAAAGCCAGTACGTTGCATTAGTAGACACTTTCTTATCTGTACCTGTTTTTCAATGTTTGGTTTGCTGATCTGTACGGTCTGAGGTCCAGCGAGCCTGGTACCTGGTGCTGCTATCACGATGCTGGTGAGCTGTGCCATAGGGAAAGTTTTGGCTATGGTTGCTGTCTGCCCGTTAACTACACGAACTGGATGTATGGAGTTCTGAGAGTTGGGTAAAGAGGTGGGTGTGAACTTTGTTGTCAACATCACAGGCCTCTGAATAAGCTGAGGAGCTGCAAGCATTGGAGGAGGTGCTGGAGCAATAGGAATGTTATTCTGGGCAACTGGTTTAGGTCGAACCTACAAAAAAAAAAAAAAAGAAAAAAAGAGACAAATTTGTCTATCAATATCTCAGATGAACCTTTTAACTAAGTCTTTCAATTCAGCCTGTATAATCTGCATAAGGTTTCTTGATTTTTTTATAGAACATAATTTTTAGCATATTGTCCTAAGTATGCTATGAGAAGGTAAAGCCACATTTTCAAACCTACTTACATAAAACCCATCTATAACATTCGCAGCCACTGTCCCTGAAATGGTATTTGGATGCACAGACACTTATATTGCATGCTTTTTGCCAAGCGTCTTATCTGTATCTAAATCAACACATTGGTTTGGCAAGCCAAAAAATGCATGTAATATCTAGAGGCACAGCTGAGGCTCTCACGTTAAAAGAGTATCTCAAGGCTTTATACTGAGCCTCCAAGAAATCATGACTGTGCCCTGAGAGAAATAATTTAAATTTTCACCAAATCCCTGTTACGTTTGTCAATTCTATATATTATTTAGACACCTGCACAACCAATCTGCTAAGCAAAAAATTGTCAAAATTATACATTAATCCCTCATTGAAAGTGCTAAAGGCTACAGGTTAACGCGGTCATTACTCTTTTCTTCTTTCACAAGAAAGGAGCCACAAGAATCTTCCAATCCTCCACCACCAATACTTGCTTATTTCTTGCCCATTGTTAAGTTTGTACTTATCACATCATTAAAGAGCACAGAAGTAGAATACATCTCTCTAAAAATAAATTCTTTTTCCTTATTTAATTTCTATTGTCCTATCTACCTCTAATACTCCATAACACATTTTATCATTGAAAACTAGGTCACATTCCAACAGATCTCACCATCCTCAAATCTTAATCAGATACTAGCCTATACTCCCTTTTTTTCTTTTGTAAAAGATTTAGACTTTTATTCACAGCACCACGTATTTCTTACAAATGAAACAGTTCCTCCAAGATGATTCTTAAATGAAGAAGCAATCTGTGTCTTTCCCAAACCATGAAAAAAAGTAAAACACAAGTTTTACTGCTCAGCTGCAAACAGAGGTCACGCTGTGGCAATACAGAAATACTTGGGAAAAATCTAGAGAGATGCCATTTTTCCTTTTGTGCTCAGGAGCACCAAGCAACAATTAAAGCAATTTAAGGCCTTGGGTGAGGCTTCGATTTTGCTGACGCCTGTTCTGTGGGTTCATTTCATTTGATGCAAATAGGATCATATATGATCATCATATGCAAATTTCATAATCACAGACTCAGGCAGGTTGGAAGGCAGCTCAGGAGGTCTCTAATTCAACCCCCTGCTCAGAGCAGGGCCAACACTAAATGCAGACCAGGTTGCTCAGGGCTTTGCCCAGATGGGTCTTGTAAAACTCCAAGCACAGAGCTTCTACAACATCTCTGGGAAGCCTCTTCCACTCCTAATTGTCCTCAAAGAGAAAATTGTTTCCTTATATGCAGTCTAAACTTTCCCTGTTCTAATTTATGATTATTGCCTATAATTCTCCTGCCAAGCACCTATGTCTCCATCTTCTTTTTAATTTCCTTGTCGATATTGGAAATAAGGCTGCTGTTAGGGTGCCCCCAACACCTCTTCTCCAAACTGAACAAGTCCAGATCCCTCAGCCTCCCCTTGCAGGTCATATATTCCCGCCCCCAGCTATCTTAGTGGCCTTCCTCCTGTGGATTCATTCAAATTTATCAACTTCTTTCTGGTACCAGGGGGTCCAAAACTGCATGCTGTATATCAGATCCAGTTTTACGATCGCTGAGGAAAGGTGGATAATCTTTTCCCTTAATCTACTGGCTGTGGTCCTGTTAGCACAGCCCATTATGCTGCTAGGCTTCTTTGGTGTTGAGGCACGCCACTAGTTTAGCTGTTGTACACCAGTATCTTTTAAGCAATGCGGCTCCCCAGCCAGCCAGTCCCCAGCCTGTACCTATGCAGGGCGTTAGTCCATCCCAGGTGCAAGACTTTGCCTTTTCCCTTGCTGAATCTCACGGG